TCGAGGATCGAGGTTCGATGGTTTTGGACTTTCCTGGCCCTGTGGCGTCGAGGGGCACATAGGGGCTGAAAGGTCGAGGATCGAGGGTCGAAGTCCTTGGACGTCCCTCGCCCTTGAGTGTCCTCCCTGGGCTCCTCGCCGCCACGGCCGGCTCCCTCCCGCAATGAGAAAGAGTAGCGAAGACACGCCGCCGTTGCGAGCTCGTCAGCGTGTTGTTACCCCTTCGTGTTGTGTCCGAGGACCTGGCGTGCCACAGGAAGACGCTGATGGATTCCCCGAGCCGGATTTGTGTTCGCCCCTTGTGGTCCACAGTTGCACAGCGTTTGCGACCAGCGATTCGACCTCAGTATCTTGCCGTGCAGTTTTCGGGTCCGAGCTGTCGCGATTCGATTGGTTAGGGACGAACGCCTCCATTTGTAATCCAGCGCCGTTGCAGCATTGCAGCTTGTGTGGAATGAGTTTGTTCTGTCGTGCAGTGGGCCAAGACAGACCAGGTCAGCAGATCATGCAGTATGTGGAGGGATTGCGCCCACCAGAAGAAAGGATCCGGGAGGTCTGGAGACCGATAGGGGGTCGGTTGCGAGATAGGCCGCTCCGCGCCTCACGCTCTGCTGCTGTGCTGGGTACTCTTCTTGTTTGCCCTACACGTGAATGCCTCGGGTTAGGAAAGCGGGTGTCAATGACATGCTGACGCACTCAGAAGAGGAGCATCTACCGGTATTGCTACCCTTCCCTCCTCGCAGCGGCTGGATTCGCCTCGACATCCTGGCCAGATCGCACCTTGGAGAAACCTGGGGAGCAATACTATCGATACCTTTTTATCCCCCAACGGACGGAGCCATTCAGCGTGAGACGCCTTCGTTTTCTATCAAACAATATGGTACGTCTTCAACATCAACACACCTCTGGTTGGGTTCCCCATGGCGGTGTGCCGTTGGAGTTGTCATTACTCCCCCAAACTGGTCATGTCTCCGTGACCTTGTCTTCGTGCTCACCTCTTGCACTCTCGCACATTGTTTGTTTGCTCAATCGTCTTGTCATTGCCCAAATGTTGCACACCCTCTCAGCGTTCCGATGTCCTTTTGCCGCACTATAGACAATTCCTTTGGATGGTATCGTGCTTATTCTTGGTTGCGGCCAGTGGTTTCTTTTACATCTCTCGTGTCTCCTCTGCCCGTTGCAGTGTCAGAGTTACTCACCCCTCCCAACCTTGTTTCCCAACCATCACCCTCCTGTACGATCACACATCCCCCACCTGCATTCCCTCGAATAGTATTGTACTTAATGTCCAGTGTTCGTACATGTGCTGTTATGAGCACCGCTTCATTTCCGATCTCTCCTCACTTACACCTTTCTTTCTCTCGCGTGTTATCTCTCGCTCTTTCTGTCTTTCCTTGTTCTTTCTCTCTCTCTCTCTCGTTCTCTCTCTCTCTCTCTCTCTCTGTTTCTCTCTCTCTCTCTCTCCCTCTCTCTCGCTCTCTCTCTCTCTCTCTCTCTCTGTCCCGTTCTCTCTCTCTCTCTCTCTATCTCTCTCTATCGATATATATATATAGTTTTCTCTATATATCTCTCTCCCTCTCTTTCCAGCTGCCTGCGGCAAGTCACGCCACCGTGCCATCCCAGCATTCTGGGTGGCGGCTGTTCGAGGGGGTACGAGAGGCCATCACGTGTGACATTTAGTGTCTCCAGACACCAGGGAGCCGTGACGAGGATGATGGGGATGATTGGGACGATGACGAGAATGATGATCGATGTTGTTGGTGACGATGATGATGGTGATGATGATGAGGAGGAGGACGAGGATGATGATGATGAGGGCGATGGCGATGGCGATGGTGAGGATGATGATGATGTTGATAATAATAAGGATGTTGATGATGGTGGTGATGTTGTGTGATGATGATGCTGCTGCTGATGATGATGCTTATACTGGTGGTGGTGATGATGGTCCTGCTGATGATGAGGATGAGGAAGATGGTAATGGGGATCATGCTGCTGGTGATTATGATGTTATTGTTGATGATGCGGTTGATGCCGAGGACGATGACGATGTTGATGATGATAATGTTGTTGATGATGATGATGGTGATGGTGATGGTGATGCTGCTGATGATGATGGTGGTGGTGATGAAGAGTAAGACGATGCTGCTGATGATGGTGATGCTGACGTTGACGATCAGCCATCATCATCATGATCATCAGCATCATCAGCACCACCATAATCATCAACATCATCATCATCAGCATCATCATCATCATTATCATCATCATCATCATCACCATCACCATCATCATCATCATCATCATCATCATCATCTTCATCATCAAGGTAGTTAAGTGTTGTAGCCCACCGCAGAATTCTCAACTTAGGAGGCGATAAGTGCTACAACATATGGCTGTCTGACACAACTTATTATAGTTGCATGCTCTCGGCTTGCAGCCGCCGGGGCTCTTGGCCTCGGCTGGGGACGGCGGGGGGGCGCGAGAAACTTGAACAGTTTCGGGAATAAGCGGTTGCGGAGCGAACGAGAGGCACACGCGAGGTATGTGCTTGCGGCACGGACAGCCCCCAGACCAGGCCCTCGGGGGCAACCAAAGACCAAGCCACGGAGCCCACCCGTTTCGGGGACCAGGGGAGCACACGGACACCCATGGCCCCACAAAACACGCCACGGACCTACACGTTCCTGGGGGTCGGGGCGGCTCTACGGATCCCGCCGCGGGGGGAGTCAATGCACCCCTTCCGCACCACCATTCTTTCGCCCTGCCTGCTCTCTTTCTTTGCACGCGCTGTCCGCCTGCTGGACTGACTTGTTCTGCTCCCGCAGCTATGCGCCTTGGCTCTAGGGAAACGGAAAAGGAGCGAGCCTGCGGCGCGCGCGCGCGTGCGGCGGCCGGCGGGCCGGCCTCCGTCCTTCAGTGTTGCCGTAGTGTATGCTCGACTGCACTATCCCTTCTTACCCATGTCATCTGCGGAGCCCACTGGCCATGATACATCATCGGGACATCTTGCAGTGATTATGAACATCCAGGCAAAATACTCTTGCGACTACCAGGCATCGAGGGAAACATATGTCAGAGTTTTCGGCCCATTCTGCCACCGTGCTTGAGTTGTGGGTAGTCCCCGGGGATGCTCGTTGGGGTCTGTTTTTGAGCGCTCTCGGGGGCGTCTGGGGTGCAGTTTTGGGACATGTGGGGAGCCTCTGGAGCGCCTCGTGAGAGCTTCTTGGGGGCCTCTTGGGGCCTCGTGGGGGCCTCTTGGGGCCTTCGGGGGGCTTCTTAGGAGGCCTCTTGGGGCCTGCTTGGAGTCTCTCGGGGTCGAGGGCTCGAAATGTCCACTCGGGTCCCCCGTCTGGGCCCCCTCTTGGAGCTGTCTCGGGGGCCTCGTGGGGCGTCTTCGAGGCCTCTTGGGCCGTCTTGGGGCCCTCTTGGGCCGCTTTGGGGCCCTCTTGGAGGCCTCCTTGGCCGTTTTGGAGCGTCGGGAAGCCGGAAAGGCGAAAACGCCAACACAAATCGTTCAACAACTAATGGGAAATACACGATTTGTGCCCCTTGGTGCCCTCGTGGGAGTGCTCTGAGAGGCATATCGGGGCGTCTTCAAGACCTCTTGGGCCGTCTGGTGGCCATATCTGGCGCCTTGGAGCGATCTTTCGGCGATTCGGTGCCCTCCTGGACCGTCCGGGCGGCCTCCCAAGGCTTTCTTGGCCCGCTGCGGGGGGCTCCTGAGCGAGAGAACCGTCTTGGGGGCCCACGCGAAACGCCCCGGAACCCCTTACCTCTGAGGTATCCCCCCTCGCGCCAGAGGCACGGTGGCGGATGTGCCTACAGTGCGATTCCTTGGGTATTTAAAATTGTGCCCCCTTTCTTGTCTTAATATGTTCGTTTCCTTCCCCTTCTCTCAGTCGCGTCCGCTTGATCCTCGGATGCCTTCCGCTTTGGTTCCATGCTTCCCCTCGGTCCAGCATCGACGCTGCCGCCCCTCTCTCCTCATCTCTTGCCCCCCATCGCACCCTGTCTCTGCTCTGGGAGGTGTCCAAAGCGAACTCTGACAGGGCTGCGAGCGGCAAGAGAGCGCCCTCAGAGAAACTGCAGGGGGCCGTCGGGAGCGAGGATCGTTTGCCCTTTCAAGATCCATTTCGACCCGATCGATCTGATTCGGTAACGAGTCTGGCCTGTCCGATCCGATGAGATTCCAATGTCCCTATTATCTGATGCGCCTCGATATTTTCATGGCGATGGTGCGCATCCCGGCGCAGCTGATCCGATTCGAGTTCGACTCCGTCCCGATGCATCCCGATCCGACACACATTCCGACCCGGTGCGACTTCCCGATGTGATGATGCCTTCTCGGCCTCGCGTTCGAGGGAACTGGCCTCGCCCTCGGCGCATCTGGTCTTCGGCCGGAGCCGGCGGAGGCAGAGTGGCGGCGGGTCCGCCTGCGGAGGCCAGCAGGAGGTCGGCGGACGGCGGCGGGAGTAGATGAAGCAGGGACGTCAGCATTCCTGGGTTCGCAGCTTCCAGAGACGACCGAGTCCTGACCTCCCAGCGGCAATGAGATGGGTGTACTCTTTGCCGGGTGCAACGGAGCCCCGCCGAGGGTCGCCGCTTTAGGGCCTCTGTCGGAGAATCGTGAGACTCGAGTGCGCCAGAATTCGGGTTTACCGACGCTTTTTGACGAACGCGTCCTGGGTTTTGACGGTCCAGTTTTCGTGGGACGTTTGCGGCGGGTGCTCGCGCCAAACTTCAGATTGGGTGTCCTCATTTTCATGATGGCCCCGGAAGGCCAACCCGAGTCCCACGCACCCGAGTCCCAGGTGCCCGAGTCTTACACGTTGTTATTTTTTCTTCGAGAGTTATTTGATTCTTGCGGGGGCCAGGATCCTTTCATTTCTAATTGTTTTATCCTGGGCCTATTCCTGGCCACTAGGGGGCCAGAAACAATTAGAAACGAGCACGCTTAGAAATGAGCACCATTAGAAATGAACGACGTGTACGTCTCCCCGAACTGTCCGCGGTGGGAGGGGTTGCGCTCGCCGGGCCGCTGGCCAGTGGTGCCCGTGGGTGGAGCCCTGGTCCGCGGGGCGCGGACCCCCCGCGTCTCGTCCCTTTATGCTGCGGGTCTCTGCCTCCCCTCCAAGCCCCCTGGTCTGAGGAGGAGGAGGAGGCGGAGGAGGAGGCGGAGAAGGAGGCGGAATAAGAGGAGGAGGAGGAGGATAGGCGGAAGAGCAGGAGGAGGAGGCGGAGGAGGAGGCGGAGTAAGAGGAGGAGGAGCAGGAGGAGGAGGAGGAGGAAATGGAAGAGCAGGAGGAGGAGGAGGAGGAGGCGAAGGAGGAGAAGGAGGAGGAGGAGAAGGGGCAGCTGGAGGCCCGCTTCGGCCGCCCCCTGGCAGGTGGAATGAGTGTCGAGGTGCTGGTGACGTCCCTCGGGTCAGGCGGCGCTTGTTCAACCTGTTCGGCGGCGCAGGCCCGGACTTGCAGGAGCGGCGCGCCGCCTCTGGGCATCTTCTGGCCCGAGCGCCTCCTGGGAGAGAGCTGCAGACGGAGGATATTGCCGATGAGGTGGTGGCGGGGGGGGGGGGGAAGGGTGGCGAGGATATTGCCGACGAGGTGGTGGCGGGGGGGTTGGGTGTGAAGGGGGGGGCTGGAGACAGAGGGTTGTTGCCGACGAGGTGATGGCGGGGGGGGGAGGGCGACCCAGACCGCATAAGTCGTGAGTTTGGCTCGATCCGGGTGCTTTGTTGCAGATTTTTCGGGTGCGTTTTCCGGCCACAGTTGCCTTGCCCTCGGGGGGGGGGCGGTAGTGCTGCTGGGGTCGCAAATAAGAATCGCCGGCGCGCTCGCAGGGGAAGTGAGAGGGGGCGGGCCTTCTCACAAGGCCCTGAAGTCCCTCGGCCTTCTGAGAAGGTTCCTAAGCCTTCCCCGAAGACATAGAGCGCCTCTCAAAAGGTGCGAGGGCTTCTGAGAAATCCCGCCGCATTCTGAGAAGGCATTATCCTTCTCACTTCCCCCTCGCTCGCCGCCGATAAAATCAATCACGTCGTCGGATGTCTGGGGACGCGGCATCCGCGCTTGCGATGCGGCGCGACGCGGGGGGGCGGCGGTGTGTGTACAGCATCACGCCTGGCTCGACGGTCTCCTGAAACTGCAGCCGTTTTGGCCCAGGACGGCCGATCAAAGCGAATCACCTCTGCGAAATCTCCCTCCGTGTGTCCAAGAGAAGGCGCCTACCCGAGGTACGTCTGTAGTTTTGAGGGCCCCCCCCTGTATCTCCTGGCGGGGACTCAAGTCCGACCTCCTCCTCCTCCTGCTCGTGTTCCGTCTCCTCCTCCTCCTCCTGCTCCTCCTCCTCCGCCTCCTCCTCCTCCGCCTGTTCCTCTTCCTCCTCCTCCTCCGACTCCAACTCCTACTCCTACTCCTACTCCAAATCCTCCTCCTCCTCCTCCTCCTCCTCCTCCTCCATCTTCTCCTCCTCCGCGTCCTTGTTCTCCCCCTCTTCCTCCTGCTTTTCTACCTCCCCCTCCTCCTCCTCGAACGGTATGTCCTCTTGCTTTGCCTGGTTCTCACCCTGTCTTCGCCGGTGCATGAGGGGTTGCTTCCTGTGGTTGTTTGGCTCATGGTAACAACCTTCCGCGCCCGTTTCACATAGTGAGACTTGTTTCGCATCGCTGTACATTCCATTTTACGGAACGCCATCTTCACCTTCCTACATCATCATGTTTGTTGGTAGCGGAGCATGTTCGCCCCTGCTCCAATACCACGGCCGCCATGCCCCATTTCGCCTCGATGGCCATGGTTCCCACCCTCCGTAGCTCTACATCACGACGCCTGCAGGAAACGTCATTCATGGGCACGTCAAGGCTGGACCAGCCCATCGGCAGGAACGCTGCGTCGTGCCGCCCTACATGCCGCTCTACATCCCGCCGTACATCCGCCTTCAACATCACCGCTTTCGCGCACCTGTTCCCGATCACTGCGGCAGGATACGTCGCTTTAGGGTCCGTCGAGGCATCCGCCCATCCGCCGGGACCAGTGACCGAGAACGTGCGCAACCAGTGCCTCATCAAGGACAACCGCTCTGCGACCCGTCCCTGGCATGGTCTGTGTCCAGGCAGCTCGCGGACCCCAAACTGTCAGCGCCCCCGCCCGTGGGGGTAGCGTCAAGTATAGGACAGTTGCTCGACACAACGTCCACATTTGTGGCGTCACAACAAGACCCCGAGCATCTTGGGACTGTCTTTCGAGAGCCGTGGGAGACGCAAGCAATGCAGGGGCATCTTGCCGAACCACCGCACCTCGGGATCCAACCCTTCGCTATGCCCGCTGAGATCCGCCAACTGGGCAGGGCGGGATCCCGACGCGCACTCTTCTAGACGATCGTGTAACTGGGGATGCTCAGTACAGCGGCCACGCGACGGACGAAGACCATTCCCGTGATTGCGCCGCGGGATGCCCCGAGTACCGTGAGAACCACCAGTAGCAGACACCCAATACGCTGACGAGGAGTAACATTCGGGCAACTGTCCTGGGCGACTCATGCAACGCTGGTTGGGGAGTACCCGCCTCCAGCACCTCGACGACCAGCGGAGGGAGCTACACTCTGGATGGATGGCCGCCAGAGTCGGCGCGAGTGCCGTCACAGGCTTCAACGCGTGCGTGGACGCAGGTGGCGGCGGCGGCAGCATGCGCCTCCTCTGCACCTGGGGGCCCAAGCGCAGGGCCCGCGTGCCTTTCCAGAAATGAGTGCGCGAGGCGATGATCTGTTCAGTTGCGAACTTGGGCGTCAGCGAGTTGCGCCGTCTGCCCCACGTCTCGTCGCGCCTCACCTGCATGGGGCGCGAGAGCGTGGACTAATGGCCGCCAGCTGTGCATCCTGGTCCAGGGCCCAGGGAGGTCTCATCAAAGGTAACCCAGTGCCACGGATGATCTTCCCAGTGCGCAGCTTGGCCTGACGATGGGGCCAGCTGGACGAGGAGCGCGCCTCGACGGCATTGGCTCTGATGCACTTCGACCGATTGCCGCGGGAGCGCAGGAGGTCGGTCATCCCCCGCAACCGGCCGGGCGCAGCAAGCTGGTTAATTCATGATCGGCCAGGAGGGGCTCAGCTTCTTCCTTCCGCGCGCCGCTGGCGCGTCGAACGCTCGACTCGCTATGCCTGCAGCGCTGCAGCCTGATCAACCCTACGAAGGCTCAACAGCTCGCCCGCATGACCGGCCAGCTGAGCGCAGAATAGAGGGATCGCCAGGCAATCGCGCCTCGGCGGTCCACGCTGCCCGGATGCACGCGCGCGTTATTGGCACTCCCACGCAGGAGCAGGGCTGGGGCGGCATGGGTCCTGCTGCGCTGGGATCGGCGCCGAGCCCCCTTGTGCCAGCCCAGGCCGCGTCTGGAGGCAGCGCCTCTAGCGCGGCACCGCCGGCGCAGGGGGCGCGCCCAGCGGCGGAGATCGATTCAGGCGCTGGCGCCGACGCCGCCAGCTCACTCGGCGAGGAGAGCGCCGCCGACGACCCCGAGCTACGCGACGCTCCCGCGGGGCGACGTGGCGCGCACCTCGTCCGGGCGCGCGCGCTCGCCGAAGCAGGCCGGCGCCGCTTCGACGACCGCGGGCCCGCGAGCCGCGCTCGGGGGGTCGTCTAACAGGAGGGCAGCGGCAAGCTGCGCGGCCGGTCTGGCGCCGTCGTCGTCGCTGGCGCCCGGGCCATCCTCTGCGGGCCGCGCTTTGGCAAGAATTTGGCGCGCCAGGCTTGACGAGCCAAACTGCGCTCGCAGGAAGCGGATTGCGAGGTTCGCTGCCCCGTCGTTTTTTCGCGACGGCGCGGCTGCGGCAGCATGCGCGCCCTGGCCGCGGAGGGCGCAGGCTTTGATCTCCCTGCCGCGTCGCGTCTGCAATCCGCGCAGTGCAACGGCGGGGCGGCGGGGGCGCAGGCGCGGACCGCAGGCGCTTCGCGGTTCCTAGACCAGGCGGCGAGAGCACATGGGGCCCCGGCACCGCCCACTTCGACTTCGCTTCGGCGCCGAGCGGCCTTTTTTGGAGGGTGACTGCGGGGGTCGGGCGCAGGGCCCCGGCAACGGTGTCTGCATGGGCCGCGCATGGGCGATGCTCGATTGCAGTGTTCGGCGGGGGGGCGAATTGAAGCTCCCCGCCTGTGCCCACGCGCGAAACTTGAGGGCGAACGAAGCAAGGGGGCTGCGGGGCGGGGCCAGGCGACGAAGGCAACGCGCGCTGAGTGCGCAAGAAAAGAAGGTTAGAATCATCGAAAGCGGCGAGGTGAGTGTCAAATTCGGCCCAGCCAATCTGACATGCGGAACACTGCGCCTCAGTTTTGGGGATCTTGAGGGCCAGGGTAAAATGTGAATTCACATTGTGGGGAAAGGCAACCTGTGAATTCACTTCCTGGGAAAAGGAAAATGTGATTTCACATGTTGGAAAGAAGGCACATGTGACTTCACAGTCTGGCATTTTGCATAGGAATGATTACGAAGGGGCCAGAAAGTGAATTCACATGTTTGGAAAAAGGAAAATGTGAATTCACATTCTCGGAAGATGGAACACGTGAGTTCACATGTTTTTGATGATCGCGGCGCCCGTTCCAAATCTGTCTCAGGGGTCGACAAGTCACCGTTTGGGAACACGCGCGATCATCAATCGCACAATCAAGACACACGTCTTCGCCGCCCCACGCGCGCCATGCAATAACGCCTGCGCGTGCGAATGAACGGGTGGACGGCGCGGTTGCCCGCGCGGGCAACGCGCGGGCGCGACCGACTGGGCCTCCCGTGGCCGCCGGCATTGGGTGCAAATCGCACCCGATCACATACATGAGCGATATATCGAGCCTACATGGGCCATTCAGCCCTGGGGCAGAACCCCTGTTGCAGACCCCTTCTTGTGCCCTTCAACGCTTGTGCATTCTTGTCGACGGCCGCGAGAAGCTCGAGCCGCGCTCCGGGGGCCTGCCGCCCAAGCAGCTCGCGTTGCTCGCGGCGGGCACAGGCGATCAGGATTCCCACGCCACCGACGGCCGCGAGTTTTAGAATTTGAAGGTCCAGCTCCTCAGCCCCGACGCACGGGCACCCGCGCGGGGCGCGCCCGGGGCCGCGGGCGCCGACGCTCACGCGCGCGCGCGGACGTCAGCATCACGACCTGTGGTCGTGAAAAGGCGTCGACGGACATGGCGGCCCTAGCACCGCCGGGCGCCCGCCAGCGCTGGGCCCCCTATCAGGACTCGCCTTCGAAGGGATCGACGTCTCGGGCGGCGCGGCGGGCCCCGACTCCCGCGGCGAGATCATGTCCCGCGCCTGCCCGCGGACGCGCATGGTCGAGCAGGGCCATCGCATCGCCCAGCTCATCCTGGAGCGCATCGTCAGCGATGCCGAGATCGCTATCGTTCCTAACCATCCCTCGACAGCTCGATCTGGAGGCCTTGGGCGCGCCAGCGTGACGTTCCTCAGCCAGGGCTCCAACGCGACATAGCAAGGTAGCACATCCGCGGGGTCTCTCGGTGACTGCGTGGTCGAAGACTCCAACGAGCTGCCTCGCCAGGATGCGGCCGGGCCGGTGCGCCAGGCTGGCCCCGCCGACTTGCCCCGGCAGGAATGGGCAGCATTCCCTGGGCACCCCGCCTGGGTCCGAGAACGGGGACGGGGCGCGCCCGTAGCACTGCAAGATCGCGGTGTCGAAGTCACCCGCGCATCCGACATCGAGGGTGCCATCTAGTCGCTGTCCGACAGCGCGTTTCCCAGCGCCAATGACTGCGTGCCTCGGTATACGCGCAACTCGGGCAGGGGCGACGTGGACGCCGTCTTCGACTCCTTCCCCCACTGTGCGCCAGAGTCAAGGATGCCGGCGACGGGCTAGCGACGTTTTGCCGGCATGGCCAACCGTGGAGACGAAAAACAGCACGATTGGTGGTCGACAGTCAAGGGCTCCACATGAGCCAGCACTGGGCTTGCCGCAAGCCTTTGGCCCCAGAGACCAAGCACGGCAGCGCCGTTCTCACGGCGCTTACGGGGGCGCCCATCAAAAAACCAGCTGCGTCGAAGCAATATCGAGTTTGAGGATGCTCATCGAGGACTAGACGATCATCAACCGACGAGTGCACGCGGCCATGATGCACCGCGAGCCGTTCCGACATGCGATTGACCAATTGGTCAGCTAATCCCGTTGCGCACCCGGAGGCGCATCTAAGAAGGTGCGCTTCTCGCGAAGCTCGACGGCGTCTTGCTCGTCGGACTCGAACACCTCTGTCTGTCTAACCGGCAGCCGCAATCGCCGCCAGCGCGACGCCCAGTACCGCGCGCGCAACGACTTCGCGCACGATTCGACTTCGCGTAAAGTTAGAAAACAACAGCGGTGGGCATGCGGCGGCTGCGTCGACTGCGCCCACCCTGCAGCAGAGAGCATACGCCAGAAAGCGAAGGTAAGAGAGGGCCACGTGCCCGAAGCACACGAGCAGGTCGTAGAGGACCACAACGACGACTGCGGCACCGACCTCACAGGTCTCGCCCCATATCTTGTGGGGTTTCCAGCCAACGACGACGACCTCAAGGGCAGACTCACTACAGGCGTGCCCATCCGGTGGTTCCGCGGCTCGTCGGCCCTGGCATTCCCGAACAATCCGATGCCGTGGAATCCCCGAGCAGGCCGGACCCGCTGGAATTTCTCGATCAGGCCGTCCACCATTGAATTCCCGAACGCGTCAGATTGCAAGTTGGCGAGTGCTTAAACGACCCGGCCAGCCAAGTTCGACGACATCCACCACCTCCGCACTTACCTCATTTCCACCGGCCACGGCACTGACATCATTGTGATTTGTGGGGGGGGGGCGCGGACCAGCAGACTCGCTGTCCGCCGCCGCGTCAAGGTGAGCACCGACAATTTCGACTCGATGACTGGCTGCGACCTCAACGACGAGAGCCAGTAGAAAACCGTGGAGCGATGCACCCGACAAAATCGGCCCATTGTGACCATCGTGGCTCCTCCCTGCCGGCCTCTCGGTCGTTTGGGCTACGTTCGACTACGCGCGCAAGCGCAACACCTGGCTGCGCTCCTACGAGGACGCGGCCCCGCACGGCCGATTCTGCGGCTACTTCGCACAGCTGCAGATCGATTTGGGCGGCTACTTCGCCAACGAGCAGCCCGAACCATCGCGGCTGCATGCCGAGTTGCCCAGGCCAGAGTTGCTGGCAGTACTGGGCGTGGGCACTGTCCTCTTTGACCAGTGTCAGCTCGGGCTTCGGGACCGCCGTGGAGGTTTCTTGAAGAAGACCATAGGGTGGTCACCAACGCCCCGGAGATCCCCGAGCAGTTTCCCGACCTCCGCCGCCCAGGTAAGCGCGCATGTCCACGTCGAGTGTCACAACTGCCTCGACTCCCAGATTTGGCCATGGGAGATGGCCGAGCGACTCGCCCAGGGCATAGCGACCGTCTCTTGCGCCCGCACATTTGCGAACTGTGTTTGCACATGCGGCGTCCGATCAGTAACCTTCCCAGCCGCGGTTACTGGCGCCAGCGAGGAAGAGATCAGACGCGAAGTTGCAGCCGAACGCGCGCGCTACGCATGCAAGGCGCGCAGTCGGCGCAACGCGCGGGCGGGCTTGCCCACGCGCGCCAGGGACCCAGCAGCGCGCCGCCACCCTAGCAGCGTGCCGACCCACCGGGAGCGCCGCGGGTGCCGAGAGGAAACGGGCCCATCACTCGACGCGCATTCGCGAGTTTGGCAAGTGCAGGTTCGCGGACCCCCACGTCCGGCCGCGCCCGCGCGCCGTCTGGCGCCCGCGAGCACCCGCGCAACCTGGAGGGCCGCGTCATTCCAGCGATCAGCAAGCTCAGCTACCCAGCGGCGTAGACCTTGGAGAAGCAGACGAAGCTGCTCGACCACCCGCGCCCGCAGGGGGGCCAGGGGCCAGCCCGTCATCCAGCGCTGGGGCTCAGTGCACTGGTTCAAGCGACTGCGTCGCTCGACCAGGGGCCCGAGCTGGGCCAGCATCCGGCGAATAGCCTCGTCGAGCAGCACCACGAGTTGCCGACGCGGCTGCGTGGATCCCAACGCCCTCAGAAAAGATTCGTTTCGACGTCATTACCTCCTTGCCAACGCCTCGCAGTGACTCGCACGAACTACGCATGCGGGAGCTGCGCAGGCTGCACCTCCGAGTGTGGCACGCCACCAAGGAGGAGATGAGCAGCCAACATAGTAAAGGACATCCTCAACTTGATTCCCGCGGCGATCAAAAATTGTAGGGGGCGCCGCAAGCGGGCGCCGCCAGCGCGCCAAACAATCCTTGCATTCCGCCTCTCGACGCGATTCAACCAGCACGTCGGGTGCGACGTCCTGTTCTACATGGATCGCGCGATCCTCCACCTTATTCGTTGCGCCTCACAGCGGCGCAGCGGTCTGGGGGTCACGTCCGAGCGCGGCTCGGCGCTACTTGCCGCCGTCGGCCGCTCATGGATCCAGCTTTCGGCTCGATGGAAGCTGTGATCGCGGGCGGCGACGGTGGGATGGCGTTAATTTACTGCGTGGAGGAGATGAAGATGAGCGGGGCTCAGGTTGACATGCGCGCCCCGCTCCAACACGCTCGTTTCGTCGAGCGGTGCGGGGCCATGCTGCGACGAGCACTCCACGCCGCGGAGGAGCAGGTGGAGGGCGAAGGCATCACCGCGAACTTCGGCTCCTTGCTAGCATGTGCCATCTTCGCTGGCAGCAGCCTTAACCGCGCGGGCGGCGCTGCGCCCTGCAACGTCGTCTTCAGACTGCAGCAGCCCATGCTGCTACCGCTTCGAAGCAGACCAACAGGGCGAGACATCCGGCGATTGTCGCTGTTACCGAGCCTCTTGCTGGCGGGGAAGTGCGGCCCAGCCGATTGCAGTGGCGCATCAGAGAGATAGCCCTGCCCCGCGCGATCGACACCGCGCGATCGAAGCGACGTCGACCTCGCGCATCAGCCGCGCCCCCGTGCCCCGCGCCGCCTAGACCGGGGAAGGCCGCTTCAACGTGGGCGACCAGGTGGAGATCTACGGGCCGCCAGGCAGGACGAAGGACGCGTCAGGCTGGGCTGGCCCTGTAGACCCAGTTCGAGGCCCGAGACGGTTTGCAGACTGCAAGACGCCAGGGCCTTCGTCGGTGTCATCTTCGACGAGATGGGCGCCATAATGGCGCGAGCAGGCTTGGCCTGGGACCGCGCGACACATGGCGCCGGGCTCCAGGGCCAGGGCCTTCGGCCGCTGGGGGGGCGCCGAGGGCGCGCGGCTTTTCAGCAGGCACGACAACTCCCAGACGTTCCAGAAGCCATGCGCCACTTGTCCCGCATATGGTTTTAAACTTTCGCGCTGCACGTCTCACTCGTGGACAAATATGTGGGCATTTGGCGGGGCTGCACACGCATCTTGGCCACGTGGCGTTTCTTCCGGAACCCTGCCGACCGCTGGCAGAGGCACCCCCACCGCGTCGCGTTTGACGCCCGCCAGCTCATCGGCGAGCGTTGAATGGAAGCTCGCGTAATCCAGTTTGTCTTGGGTGATGAGCCGTCAATGACAGACGCCGGGCAGGGCCTGGACGGAACGTTCGATGTCTGCGTCATCGACGTTCCCCACAGCCGATGGTGGATCGCTATCAGTTGTCGGCTATGCCAGAGGAGACTGGCCGGGACTGCTCCGGCCACGTCCAACAGGTGACGCCGGCAGGTTGGCGCGAAGTCGGGGGGGGATCTGACCCAGGAGTTGGTGGAGCTGGAGGGCGCAAACAACCGGCATGAGATCGCCGCGGCTGCCGAACACGCGGCGGCCGACCTAGGCCGCGGGCCACGCGAGTGGCCCGAGCGCCTCGAAACGCAGGGCCGGCGCAAGAGCACCCACGCGCAGCGCGCCTACTATTCGCGATTGCACCGCGCTCGAGGAGGAGGGCGACGTTGGTAGACATGCGGAGTTGCATCTTCATCCAGGGGCGCGCGAAGCAAACCTGAGCTTCGACGTGGCTGCGTCTGGCGACTGCGTCGCCAGCCGCTCCTCAGACGGCCGTGTCCGGCGACTGCGTCGCCGGCGCCCCTGGGCAGATGCGATCAACTTGCGCGCTGCCGTCGAGACCGCGCTCGTCGAGCGCGACGCCGACTTCCTGTCCAACGGGGAAGTGTCGAATATATTCCAGACTCGTCTTCGGGCGGAAGCGTCGGGGGGGGTCCGACGGCCGCGCCGTTAATATCACCGGGCGCCGCATGGCGCTGAGCGGGTTCCGAGACATAGGCGCCCGAGCCCTGGGAGCGTTCGCTGGGGCAGCGTAGCGGGCGTCTCAGCGCCTGCAATCATCGGGGGCGGTGCGTCGCCCTAACCGGGTATACGTCGCCGTTGACGTCGAGGAGGCATTCCTGCAAGGCGTGGCCCGCGCAGAAATCCAGGAGCAAAGCGAAGCACCACGAGAGGCCAACTTCACTTTGCAAGCTGGCAGCGCAGCCATTCCCAGGCAGGCGCCCTGCGACGAGAGCTTCGACGAGCGGACCGCGCGCCCGCGCTGCGTCCAGCTGGGCGCGGGCCGCAAGGATGCACCCAGAGCCGGCTCCACGAAGCTCGCTCCGGTCGCGCGCCCACCTGCAGCGCGGCCCTACCAGGCGGGATCCGGAGCTCGAGGTCAAGCGCGTGACGCCCGGCAACCGTGCTGATGGCGTCTCGGAGCAAGTGATCGGAATGTCCAAGCATGTCGACAATCGAAAGATCGCTAGGCCGCTAGGCAAAAGGGGCACGTCGACTGGCTGATCAGCCACACCGAGATCGTGTTCGGGTAGATGAAGGGTGACTGCGACGACTTCGCCAACTGCGGAGCGCACCAGCACCGCAGTGCCGACGGCACCGTGAAGCCCTGATGCCGATCAGACACGTCGACCCTGTCAAGGCCAAGGCTGACGAGCCGACCGGAGGTCAGCCAGCGGCTTACGCTTTGCTCACCAAGCACTACGGATGCATCGTCGCCCTGCAGATCAATGGAGTGCGCCGGGCGACTCAGCGCGCACAGCGACGGGTCCTTCAAGAGGTAAACGGAGTGTAGATGCTACATGAAAGGAGCTGTATACATGCGTCTCGGCAATTGCAGCCGCGGTGGCAAACGGGTGTGCCACCTGCTGGACGCTGTGAGCCGATCGCACAAGCTTGTGTGCAGATCCTCATTATGCTCGTCCGCCAACCCAGGGACCTGCCGAACGCAGGAGAACGTATCCCTTGCGGCCAGGCAGCTGTTTCGGAGAAGGGCGGCAAGTGGAGCCCATTTTTCTGCAGCTGTCTGCTTCACTCCTGCAAAGCACGACGGACTCACTTGAACGCCAGACTCGAACGGTATGTCCTCTCGCCGCGCCTGGTTATCGCACTAACCTTGCTTATGCATGAAGAGTTGCTTCCTGTGGCTGTTCAGCTCAAGGTTGCAACCTCCGCGCCGGCCTACACAGTACAACTCCTTCTATATCGCTTCACAGTCTTGTGCGGAGGACCATCTCTACCGTCTTACATCTTCATTTCTAATCTCCTTCTCGTCCTCCTCCTCCTCCTCCTCCTCCTCCTCCTCCTCCTTTTCCTCCCATCCTCCCCTGTCATTGTTGCGCGGCGGGTGCCGCGGATAATTAGCTATTTTCGATTTTGGTGGGACTCCAGTCCGTCAACACTGGTGTCGAAGGGTTAATCCGTTTCCACTATTGGGGGGGGGGTAGAAACCTACTTCGGTTACGCACCATCGCCATGCTTGGCCAGGATTGTCCCGGGCCTCGGCATGGCGGCATGGTAGATACGTTTTCTTGGCCGATGCCAGGAACGTTTGCGCACCATCCCAGGGCCCAGGGTTGCCCTGGCCAGGCATAGTGGTGGTGCACAGGCGCCTTGCTGAGTACCTGCTGTGCACGTGCCCCTGCACGTGTGGCCGTGCTGATTCCGAGGCGGGGAGGTATCCGTAGTCACCGCCTGGGGGATCGATTTTCGGCAACTTCGGCAGGCGGTGGACATGGATATGGACTCGGGCCCCCAATGACCCAAATGTGTCCATGTTCGCCGCCCCCTAGGGGCCCAACCGTCTGTCCTGCACTCGGTCGCCTTCATCTTGCAGCATTCCGTCCGTATCCACATAATCCATTTGTAGCAAAGGATGGGGCTCTTTTCTGCCGTGTTACTTATGGCTTTTTGGTTCGAGTAGCGTATGGTAATCAATGAGATAGCGCCGATTAGCGTCGGCGAGCGTCGATTTAGTTTCTGTCAACGTCGATTTAGCGTCCACTGGCGTCGGTTACCGTCGGCCAATTTGATGGTAGGGGAGGCCCCCATGAGCGGCCACCGAATAGTCCACATCCCGCTGCCTCCACCGTCCATCTTGCATCGTGCCCACGCCGCAATAGTAGTGGGTCTCCCGATCCGCTTGCATGGTTGGCGCTATCTACGGCGCCTCCGTTCCGACCCTGTCAGCGGAGTGCGCCCCGGCGCGCATTTGAGCGTCCGTCCGTCCGTAAGGTCCCAGGACGTCGGTTCTCGGGCGGCTGGCTGGGATAATTCGGCGGCGAGCCATGGGGGGAAGAGAGAAGGAGAAGGCCTTCTCAGAAGGCGGCGGAACTTCTCAGAAGCCCTCGCGCCTTTGAGAAGTTTTCGGTGTTTTCGGGGAAGGCGAAGGAAAATTCTCAGAAGGCCGGGGGAATTCCGAGCCTTCGAGAATGCCCGCCCCTTCTCTCTTTCCCCCCCCCGGGCTCGCTGCCGAATAGGGACGATTTCGTTCCAGAGCGTTCTGGAGCGCTCTCAGAACGTTGCGGAACGTTCTGAGACGGACGCGGCGCCCGAGACATCCTCCAGAGCCGCCAGATCTCAGAGATTCTCGATTTATCCCCACCCGAATTTGTCCTCGTCCTGGCTTCGCCTTAGGTTTCCCAGGCGGTGGATCACAGCTACACCCCAGCCTCGCACGGATGGCCCAATCATGGCTCGCGCGTGCCGTGGCCGCGGCGCTCCTCGTGTCCGCCGCCCACGCGGGCAGCCTGCGCAGCTCCGGCGCGGTCGACCGGGCAGCCGCTGACGCGGCGATGAGGGGCAACGTTCGGGGCGGGGGGGGGGCAGCAAAGCACAGGAGCCTTGTATGTCCTCGCAAGTCCGTCGTCAGAGCGCATTCGCCTGCGATAGCGCCTGATAGTCAGTGATAAGGCGCCGATTTAGTGTCCATCAGCGTCGACTGGCGTAGATCAGCGTCGATTCGCAAGGTCCAGCAAGATGGCATGGGAGGCTCCCGTGAGCTGGCACAGAAGGGGCAGGCTGCATCGGGCCCTCAATCGCCCACGCATGGCCGACGGGTGCCCGACAGCACACCGAGCCCAGGAAATTGCGGGCTCGCTATCGGGGGCCTGTCGCCGATCTATGGGCGATGTAAGCACCGCCGATTCTAGCTCAAAGTTCCACCCACCCTGAGCCAGTCCCCACCTAACATTAAGTGGGGCCTGTCCTCCTACAGGGGGATTTTCGACGAACAATGAACAATAATAAAAACAATACCCCCAAATCATCAAACATGCTCAAAAAATAGTCCCCAGACTATATTTGACTGTTTTTGAATATCCCCCCTGTAGAGGGGCAGGCCCGACTTAACCCTAACGTTGTCCCTCAGGCGATTGACCACGAGCTCGCGGCCAGCGCTGGCCCTGCCGACGCTCGGATCGGCAGGCTCGAGGCCGAGCTGAGCGCCACGTTCACGGCGCTTCCCAAGGACGCGGAGGGCGGCCTCGGCCACCAGGCCGTCCGCTACGCGCTCCACCGGCTGTTCGTGCAGCGGCACGGGTGGTGCTCAGAGCAGGAGAAGGTTGCGTCTGTTTGGGTCTCCTGGAAGGCCCTACTCGCAACTCTGGTCAGAATGCGCCCCGGGAGAGGTCTGGGGAGTAACGGTATCGGTATATGTTTGTCTCCCGAGGTACATCAAGGGGCTCGAGCCCGGCACCAGCGCGGAGAGTTCCTCCGACTGGGTGCCGTCGTACCTCGAGGGGCGCTTGCGGAGGCACCTGGCCGGCAAGGGGGCCGCCTTGCGGGACCTAGCCCTCTTCGCGGCCGCAATCGAGGACCTCGTCACCGTCGAGGCGGTCCAGAGGATGCGCGCGGCCTATGAGATGCTTGAGCTCCCCACCCTCGGCAACCTCACGCAGGAGGACGCCCAGCAGCTGGTCGTGACGTTCTTCGTGGGCTTCCTGAGGGCTGGCAACTTCTCGGCCAGCACTCCCCAGGACTCGAAGAAGAAAAAAAACAGACACTCGCAGCTTTCGGAGCTCCAGGCGGATTTCTTGGATCGGCACTGGGGCCCCCCTGGCGGCGCCTCAGGCGCCGCCCCTGGCGCGATCCAAGAAGTCCGCGCGGATCTCCGAGGTTTCTGTTGACGCCGCTCTCACTCCCTCAAGAAGGAGGCAAAGGCGAAGGTCGGCATCTTCCAGACGAAGTACACTGGCTGGAGCCAGGCCCACGAGTGGCTGCTGAGCGTCGTCGGTGGCGTCACCGGCTCCCGGGAGCTGGAGGGCGGGCTGGATCTCGCCGGCGCAGAGCGGCTGGCCGCGGAGGTCGGGGAGAGGTACCACGCCTTCAACGACGGGGAGTGCAGGGCGCTGAAGCGCGAGATGGAGGAGCTCCAGGTTCTGGGGCAAGGTTCGGGGAGGGGTAGGCGCACGGGTGGATACATCGACCCCCAATCGCCCATTGATCGCCGATGGGGGCCTGATAGCCCACCCCTCCGAGGAACGTGCGGATTCGTCATCGGGCAGCGATTTATCGGCGATGTAGCGACAGTGCAAGCTCGATGTTTCCCCCCTGAGCTGGTCCCCCCGCGAGCGATGCGGAAAAACGAGTTCGCTCGTGCGGACATTCGCTAGTAAGCTTCCCGCGCCAGGTCGCGCGTAATCGCCCTCGTTTCCGAGGTAGCGTGCCGCGTTGGTGGGCCGCGTAAGCAACCGTGTAGGGTGGCTAATGATGCTATTGCGCGTAAGACCCGCTTCTTGTCGACGCGCAGGTGTACAAGGCTGGGCGGGTGCGCCTGCCGCACTTCTATCGCAAGGCGCTGTACAGCCACTGGGAGTTCAATGAGAAGGCCTCCTATCCAGCCGCCTGCGGCAAGCACCCCTTAGGCCCCCCTAACCCTAAACCAGGACACTGCTAATCAGGACTTTTGCAAATTCCCGTGGGGGAGGGGACGAAGAATGGAGAAGGGTTCGAGTCGCAGCTGCAGTTATCTCAGTCGTGCCATTGTCCTCGTATACCGATGTCCCCTTTTAGGGGACCCTGAGCCCCGCTACCGCTCCAGTGCAGCAGCGCAGCGGAGAGGGCGGCGGAGTTGAGGACCCGCTCCAGTTCAGCGCTCTGCCTGAATTGGCGCTCGTCCCTATGCACGTTCTCGTTGCCCTCTGCCTTCTCTCGCCGGCGGGCCCAGGGAGGACGGCAGCGGGAGCGGGCCTCAGAAGGCTCAGAAGGCCTCCGGCTTTCTGAAAAGCTTTCTAAGCCCTCTCCGCATCCACAGAGGGTTTCTCCGAAGGCCAGCGGGCTTCTAAGAAGCTGCGCCGCCTTCTTGGAAGGCTTGCCCCTTCTCGCTTCCCCCTGGGCGCACATCGGGCGGAGGAGGGGCTCCGGTTTTCGGGCCGTTACCAAGCTCTAGGTCGTGGGACCTATTCGTGGCCGAGGCTCGCCTCGGCCAGAAAATCCCCTTCGATTCTCATTCAGCTTTCCTTATGGTAGCACGATGGCTGCACCAGACAACCAACAAGCAGCAGGCATTCTAGCACTCCACTGATGTGCAGACACGGTGGCGGACCTGCGGTCTCTCGGCGCGCTTGATGAGGCCGAGGAGGGCAACGCCATGGTGATCATGCCTAACTACCTGATGGCTCGCACAAACTGCCTTGAGGCCACGAGCCTGTACGCCCTGTGCTGCCGGAACGAGTGCGAGGATTTGATGGACCAGCTGGAGTTGGACGTGGCCGCCCACGAGGCGGAGCCCGCCAGGCTGGCCGAGCTCGTGGCGGCCATGCCCTCGGACACGGTGGCAGCGCCAAGAAACTTGTCGGCCGCCCTCGTGGCTCGCCTCGGCGAGGTCGCGGCCAGCAACGGCGGCAGGGTGCCCCTCCACGGGCGGCTGTTCGCGCAGTGGATGCACCACGCGTTCCCGCGCGAGTGCCCATACCCGCACGAGTACGGCACCCGGGGGGGAGAACGAGTAGCAATGACACGTTGCCGTTGATACCTTTCCGTGTGCTAATCCTTCGTTTCTGTCTGAAGGTTTGGCGATTGTTTTTGAACTGTAGCATGCTCATGGCTCCCCCGCAGCGGCATGTCGCTGAAACAGTTTGTGCCCCCCGAGGAACGACCAGCCCGCAGACTCCGGACGAGTGGATGCGGGAGTCCGGCGAGGCGACCGACAGGATGACCACGGACGAGCTGCTGAGGGAGGTGGAGGCCGACACGTGCGCCTGGGCCCCCGGGCAGGCGCCTGGCGCGGGCTGCGGCGACCCTGGCGAGCTGCCGTGGAGCGGCGCGGAGGAGCTGCTCACCGTCTCCCCGCCGCAGGCGCGCCCGCGGCGCCCCCTGCTGGACCTTGCGGCGCCCGCGCGCGACGCCGCCACGGCGGGCGAGGGCCCTGGCGCCGCCGACGAGGAGCCAGGGATCCCCGCATGATTTGGCGACCGCCGTGTGGCGTGTGGGATCGTGTGGGTAGAGGTTCTCGGGATTACCGCACTGTTTTGGGAATCGGGCCGTTCTGCGATGGCTTCTCGGGCGGCTGGGGCCTCCAGTGGCGGGGCGGGGGGCCCGCGGTACCCGCAGCGCTGCACTGAGGTTCGCTGGGGCGTGGCGGCGGTGACCCTCCGCCCGGCTCGTCAGAGCGGCCCCGCAGGGGCGCGGAGATGGCGGCGCCTCGCGGCGACGGACCGTGCGGTGAGGTCTCTTGCAGGGTTCCGGGGTCACCGCGCGGTCCGCCACCGCACCGTCTTGGGGCACCCGACGAGGAGGCCCAGGCCGCCGTGCTCGCCGCGCTGGTCGCGGCGGCGCTCGCCGCAACGGTCGCCCTCGACTGGGGCTACTTCGGGCCCCGGCGCCGGTCGTCCGAGGAGGGGAGCCTGCATCGAAGAGCAACGAGAGGAATTCACATAATCTCTCTCGGAGGCCCGCACGCCCCCATCTCTGTAGCGGCATCGGCACGCATGAGCTAGCACCCACACTTATGCGACCCCTAGATCTCTCGGGGTGGAATTCCGTTGGGGCTATGGGTGTGCGTCGTCGGATGGGATTCCGCTCGAACAGGAGCCCGCCTCGGGGTCCGACAACCCGCTCCCATACCTATCCAGCTGCTTGTGGCAAACCCCGCCAGCGTGCCTGTGCAACAGCGCAGCAGGAAGGAGGCTGAGTGTAGGAACAGTGGTGCGAACAGCGCAATGACATTCCGACGAGTGGCTTGAACAGACGGGTGGTGAAGTCAATTTCGTCTTCGACCGCGCGGTAGGAAGGAGGTCGAGTTCACGGCCCGCTGCAGTTCAGTGGTTTGTCTGAAATGAGGGGAGGGTCGTGGTCTCGACCTCGACCCGGTCCGCGCAGTAGGGGGGTCGAATTCACGTTCCGCGGCCGTTCAGCGAGTGGTTTGAATTGAGGTGGGTCGTGATCTCGACCTCGCGTTCGCCTGCGCGCCGCTAATGAGGAGAAGGTGGAGGAGGAGGCGGAGGAGGAGGAGGATACGGAGGCATTTTGAGGCTCTCTTGTTGGTGCCTCCTGAGGGCCTCTTGTCGGCCTCTTGGGGGCCTGGTATACCTTGGGGGCCTCTTGGGGCTCTTCGGGCGTCTTAGATGGCCGCGTGACCTGTCTGACGCCTTCGGAGGCCGTCTTGGAGGTTTCCCTAGGCTGTCTTGGTGCCCTCTAGAAACGTCTTAGGGCCGTCTTGGGGCATTATTGGGAGGCTCTTAGGCGATTTTAGGGTCCTCTTGGGCTGACTCGGGGCCCTCTTGGGGGCCTCATGGGTTGCCTTGGAGCTATCTTGGAGGCCTCTTGAGCCGAGCCGTCTTGGGCGGTCGGAAGCCCAAACAGGCGAGAAGCTCAAAATACTTCAAACACCTAGGGATAATCAATGTTATTTGCTTCCTCTGGCTCTCTTGGAAAGTCTCCTGGAGCCGTTTTGGGAGCCTCTTGAGCCGTCTGGAGACAGTCTTCAGAGCTTCTTGAGCCGTCTTTGGCCATCTGGAGCCGTTTTGATGCCGTCTTGGCTGTCCGAGAACCGTGCGGGGACGATTTTCGAAGCACGCGTGCGGGGATGGGGGGGGCTCCAGCCCTGGAACACTAAAGGAACTTCCTACACAACAGCAAGCACTCATCACACGCCCACTGAGCATAAGGTCTAGTGGCGGATAGCGCTCGTTTTCTCATCCATTGTTTTTGCCGATCGGCGCGGGCCCTCGAACCCCCTCCCCATGGAGTAGTTCATGGCTGTTTTTCCAACAATCCTGTGGTGTTGGGCCTTCGTTTTGAAGAGACGGTCCCCGCGTTCCTCTCCTCTTCTCATCCTCTTCCCCCTCCTCCTCCCTCCTCCCTCTTCCATGCGTTTCACCCACCCAGCACAGCTTTGCGTGGCCCCATAAGGTGGCTCCACCGAAGCCCCCAGTGGCACCGCCCGCATGCTTCTGCCATCACCCAGCACAGCCCTTGCTCCCTGGGGGCTCCACCGGACGTCCCAGTGGCACCGCCCACATGCGTCCGCCACCACCCAGCACAGCCTTTACTCCCTGCGTTTCACTCACCCAGTACAGCGTTTCGTGGCCCCATAGGGAGCTCCACCGAAGGTCCCAGTGGCACCGCCCACATGCGTCCGCCACTACCCAGCACGGCCCTTGCTCCCTGCGTTTCAACCACCCAGTACAGCGTTTTGTGGCCCCACAAGGGGCTCCACCGAAGGTCCCAGTGGCACCGCCCACATGCGTCCGCCACCACCCAGCACAGCCTTTGCTCCCTGCGTGTCACCCACCCAATACAACGCTTCCTGGCCCCATAGGGTGCTCCACGGAAGGCCCCAGTGGCACCGCCCGCATGCGTCCGCCACCACCCAGCACAGCCCTTGCCGTCTGCGTTTCGCCCACCCAGTACAGCGTTTCGTGGCCCCATAAGGGGGCTCCACCGAAGGTCCCAGAGGCACCGCCCGCATGCGTCCGCCACCACCCAGTACAGCTATTGCCCCCTTCTTTTCACCCACCCAGTACAACGTTTCGTGGCCCTTCAAGGGGCTCCACCGAAGGTCCCAGTGGCACCTCCCACATGCGTCTGGCACCACCCAGCACAGCCCTTGCTCCCCGCGTGGCACCCACCCAGTGCAGCGTTTCGTGGCCCCATAGGGGGCTCCACCGAAGGTCCCAGTGGCACCGCCCGCATGCGTCCGCCACCATCCGGCACAGCCCTTGCTCCCTGCGTTTCAACCACCCAGTACAGCGCTTCGTGGCTCCATAGGAAGCTCCACGGAAGGCCCCAGTGGCACCGCCCCTATGCGTCCGCCACCACCCAACACGGCCCTTGCTCCCTATGTTTCACCCACCCAGTACAGCGCTTCGTGGCCTCATAGGGAGCGCCACCGAAGAAGATATTCACAATTGCGGTACTCACAAGTGCATATGGTTGGGTATGGCTGGGTCTTGCGCCAGGCTAATTGGCGCCTGCTTCAAGCAGGCAGAGTCCCCCCCCCATAGGACGCACTGTTGTTGACAGTCGCGCTAAGCAGAGGTCCCGCGCCAGACCCCCCCCCCCTTCCGCCCAGTGCCAATACGCCGAATAAGGAAACGTTCACATAACACCTCCATCTCCTTGCCCTTCCTACTCCTCCTCGCTACCGGTTTGAGTGTGTGTTGTTATCTCATCAGGTCGGTGCGCGGCCTGCTGGAGGGCGCGCCAGAGGGCCCTGTCGCCGCCGCGCTCGCGGCGGCGTGGCCGATGGCCGAGGGGCAGCGCGTGCCAGTGTTGCTCCTGGCTCTGGTGCTGGCGGCGTACTCGGTGCAGATGCTGGACGGAGGCTTCCGAGGGAGGATTTGAGGGCTCGATGTCCGTTCACGGGAGCCTTGCTGCTACTGCATTGGGACCACATTTGGACCGCCTTTGGCCCTTCCCCCTGATCCTCCTCGCCCTTCCTCCTCCTCCTCCCCCTCCTGGTTCTTCTCGTCTTCCTCGTGAAGTGGCGAGTCCGGTCCAAGTCTGGTCCCAGATGTGTTTCAAATTTGGTCAAAATCAGGCCCACCTCAGACAGCGCAGGGTGCCACGCAGGCTTCCATGGAACGTGCACCAAATAAGGCATATTGCAGGGTTTATTTCGCGAGGTCCGTTTTTCTAATGCTTTGAATTTCACTGGAAGTGTTACTTTTTGGGGTGTAGCAGCCACCTGCGGCGAATAGGAGGCGATTGGTGGACGGTTTGCGCGGGGCGTGTCTCGCTATTTGCCGCTAGTCGGTTGCCGCTATTTGCCGCCGGTCCGCCAACATATTGATCAAGACCGGCTTCTACGTAAAAACAAACGTGCATTTCGATCCGATCGATCCGATTCGATGTCGATTCTGGTTGGCCCGATCGGGTTCGATTACGACCAGTCCCCTGAGACCAGGACAACGACCAACCAGGACATTGGCAAGTCGGGAAAACGACACCCTTTCCTGGAAAGTCAGATTCAGGTCGTCCACTGCATTTTTCGTTGCTGCGCTTGGTCGTCCAGTGCAATTTTTTGATGCTGCACTGCAGGATTCGCTCCTTTGTACGGGTCGGAGAGAGGTTTGGCAGGTTGGCATGCCCTTTGTCTGGGGTTATTCCGCGACTGTTGCAGTGCAGTTTGTTGTCCGTGCCGTCCTGTTGTGCAGTGCAGTGATTTGTTTGTGCCGCCGTCGGAAAAAATGTTTCGAGGTATGTTGGGTGTCCCAGTCTAGCGTGTCCGGGCGTGGGGGGCCCTGATCTGATGTTCACACGCCCCGATGCGGCCCGATGGTTGCATGGCGGCGTCGTGCATCCAGGAGCAACCCATCCAACTCGATTCCTGTTCCGTGCCGATGTGGCCCGAGCCAATGCAAATTTCGACCGGACCCGGTATGCCGATTCGGTGCTAAGTGATCATGCGCCGATTTTGAGTTTCCCAGACAAGTCGATTGAGGAATCGGCCTTCGTCGTTACCTTGCGCTCCCTCCTGCCTTACCCCGCCGGCCGCTCGCCGCTGCGGGCGTTTTGATCACGACTAAATGACAGTGCTTATCGTGCGCACTGTAGAGGGAAAACAGGAGCGCGCGCCCGCGTGTGCGGGTTGTCATGCCGTCCGCCAACTGCGAGGATCACATCATGACCTCAATGGCGGGGGTTCTTGCGGTGGGACTATAGGATGAGGAGGCTTCATCTGTTGCAGGTTATAGTGGTTATCTGACCAAGCATAGGTTATCCGCGGAAGAAATGCTATTCACAACGTCGGCCGAGATCATAGCGATCACCGCAGTTGCCATACGATGCGCAAGGCAGCGGGCAGAGGTGGCGAGATGCCAGATCAATTCTAGACGATCTCACGAAGTCCGCACTCCAGGAAGCGAGCTCCAGCTTGCACCGCGCTGTCGTTTCTTCTGGAGGGAAAACTCACGATTCTGGAGAAGACGCACAGAAGGAACGAGAGTCGTTGCGAGATCTCGATCAGGTGTCGCAGGCCTCGTCGATCACCCAGCACACGCCCGCTGCGCCGAGCAAGTATTAGACCAAGGCCATGTTGAGCGATTAACACGCGTCGATTATGCGGCATTGCCGTCGACGGGCGAGTGGCGCGCTCTGGAGGCGCGCGCAACAGCGCATGTTGCGGGCTCCCCATAGGGCGAGCATGCCGGGATTGACGACGCGAGTCCATACGCCGCGAGAAAAATCGAGATGGCGGGGGACAAAAGGACCGCGAGGAAACCGCCCGCGGCGATGAATACTATTGCCCGTTCGACCAGCGTGGAGAAGACAGCGCAGCGGCGGGCCAGCAAGCCTTTGGCCATCTTTGCGCCCTCTCACCAGCAAGCGGCGAATATAACTCGCAGCGTGTCCGGGCCCCGACTAGTGCAGCAGCGCCCATGAGAAGAGCGAAGAGTCGCCCATGAATTTCCCTGACGCCCCAGAGAGCGCGCCCCCCGATCTCAGCGCCGATGTCAGCCCCACTTCGTCGACGGCTCTAGGGAAACCGACTCTAGAGTGAGTTTTCATTATTCTAGGAGAGCCAGTGAAGATGAATGATCTGGGGAGTTCACTAAGGCTGCAGGGGCATCATCGCCCAGCGCCGTCGCGCTTGCCCAATATCGGCGGCGGCCCGCCAGCAGCCAGCGGCGTCCGTCGCGGGGGGTCTGCCGGGGGAGAAGATGAAGAAGAGGCCGGGGCGGTAGTTCCAACGCCACCCGCCTGGAGTCCGAGGTTCGGCAGGAACCCTTGGAACGTCGATTTGTCGTGCTCGGATAAAGCCCCGTCCGCGCGGACAGGGCGAGACAGGTGCCCAACGAGTCGGCTGAGACCCAAGCCGAGTACTTGGGGCGAGGGAAAGTGGCCCCAGCAAGTGTTAGGTCCTACGCGTCAGCGCTCAGGCGTCAATTTGGAATTAAAATTATCGCACAATTTGGCGCAACGATGGAGCAGTCTCGGCTGCGATCAAAAGACGAGACGCGCCTCGTTCGCGGGCCTGGGATCGTTTCTTCCGGGGAAGGTGAAACGCGCAGCTTGTCGTCCAGGGCGTCGATCTCATCATGCCTGAGATAGAGCGGTCTGGGGGGATGGTCGACGTTGGTCCAGTCCTCTTACGCGTGGGAGATGACATTATTGGCGTGCCTGATCCCAGCGGGGGCCCGCGGCCCGCGCTTCGCACACTTTATTTCCACCTGCTGGGGAACTGCCTTGCCGCGGGAAAAGGTGGCCCAGGTGGGCGGTCCAGGTGGCGGGTTTTAACTTGGATCCGCGAGCGGCGAAGACCTTGTTATTGGATCAGCGACCACATGGCAACCCGAGCGGAACGGACACAGCAGCGAGTGCGCGGCGAGGCCAGGCAGGCCGATATTCGAAGAATGACCTGCACCGCCGCTCCGACTGGCGCCGCAGAAGGTGCCGCGGAGATAAAAGCGCGAAGGGCGGCGCTCTCAGGGGGCCTCTTCTTTGCCGAGAGTTCGCGGCTGGCCAGTGCACGGGCGGCAAGGAGCGCCCCTCGAGCGCGGCGTTTCGCCGGGCGGAAGGGGGCGCGTCAACGGGGAAGGCGCAACCGGTGAGCCGCCGAAAGGCGATTGGAACAGTTGTTGCCGGAGGACGCCCCGCGCGCTGCGGCGCCTGACCCGAAGGGCCGAGACCTATCAGGGAACGCGCCCCATGCCTCGCTGGCCCCTGTAGTCTCGAGATACTGGCGCGGCCCAGAGGTCGACCAAGGGAAACATCGGGGGCCATTCCTCGCCGGAGTTTCAGTCGAGGGGCGCGCGGCGGCGAGCGGCGCGGCGGGGGGAACGCCGCGGCCAGACGCGGGGCGAGAAGCTCGTTCGGGGCGCGGTAAGAGAAACATATAGCGCTTGGGAGGAGCCCGCCGCGCGATCGCGCCGAGGCCCAAGGAAGAGCGGCGACGCAGAGTGTCAAATTGCGCCCCGAGCGAGGGCAAACCCGCGACAGGGGGAGGCATGGGCCGCGATGGAGCAGAGGAACAGAGCGATGAGAAATGCTGGTATCATCGAAATTGGGAGACTTGCGCGATCGGTGACAAGTGCGATTCCCGCGCTTCCACCCCCCAGACCCTGGCGGTCACGCGCAGCCTTCGGGCGCGTTTTCCAGGGGGGCGCGTGGGAAAAGGAGACGGCGTGAAAGTCGCGCCTGCCGTGTGTTGTTTAGATCCCGCATCGGCTGGCTACGCCGCCTGATTTGAGCGCGCCGCCGCCCCCGCGGCGGGCGCAGCGACGAGGGCCCGAAAGTGGCGGGCGCAGTCCCGGTTACCCCGCTGGCCAGCGCAGGGTCCGCCGGCGATTCGCGGGCGACGACGTCAGATTTGGGGGCGACGTCTGCGCCTAATTGCCAGGGGGTGGGGGTGGGGTGGGGGGGGGGGGGGCGACAGACGCAACGAGCGCCCTTGAAATTGTCGGAACCTCTCGCCCTAGAGAGGCCATCGAGCCGATCGCCACCCCGTCGCCTTCGAAATCCATGAGTTTTACGCGGCGGGGACAAGAGGCGCGAGCGGAACTGGCGGGCAGATTTCGGTCGAACACACGACCGTGCCCCCGGGCGCGGAGGATCGAATGGGCGCCCGATGCCCCGGCGAGGTCCTTTGGTGCCTTCAGAGACAGCCGACGAAGATCGGTGGCTTTATCTTTCGCCAGCGCACGGGGAACGGCGGCCCCGAAGACCCGGGCCGCCAGACAAGTCGCTTTCATGTGGCGCTTGAGCTTGAACGCGACGCGCCCTGCCTCTGGGCTGAACCTCTGGGCATAGTGGGATGAGAAGAACGGCGCCCCTGGGTCGGAATGCCCGGCGAGACTCGCCTCGGCGAGGTTCATCGTTGACTCGCTGTGCGGGTGCAATCTTATCTCTATGAGATTCGTCGCGGGCAGGTGCTTCGAGTCGCGTCGCTCTCGCGGGGTCTCCGATCATCCTGGGCGCGACGCGCGGGGGCAGGGCCGCGCCCTCGGGGCCGCGAGCAGAGCTCGCGAAAAGTCACTGCGCGGACGTTCCGAGCGCGCCGAACGCCCGAGCGCGAGACGTCGCGTCTGACCGCCGCAGGAAAATGGGCGCCGGGTCGAACGGGTGCGGCTGCAGCCGGCGATTATACAACTTGTCCTTGACTGACGGGCGCGCGCAGACAGGCGCCGAGGCGCATCTGCGGAATCCGCGCGGGCGGGGGGTCGGGGCGGGGCGCTTCGGTCGATTTGGAGCTGCGCCGCCCGCGAACTGCGCGCGAACAAGACGATCGCGCCCCGCGGGTCTGACGACGAGGCGCAGCGCCCCGTGGACGGGCCCGAGAACCGACGGGGGGCCGCGGGTGCGATCTCGCATCCGTTTCGAGCG